TTCAAAATAAGTATAAAAAAATTTAAAAATAATTTTGTAGCACTCACTATCTGTGCCTATAGTTATATATATATATATATACATATATATATATATAAATATATATATATATATATATATATATATATATATATATATATATATTCAAACTTTTCGACCGCACAAATGGTTTGACTCTATTTTCGAATTAAATAGACATTTGAATAAAAAAACGCAACGTAATGTATTAATGGAGGCGACATGTTGACCAGCAACAATGAGAATATGAAATCAAAATGACAAATTATCATCAATCAATGGACCAGGAGGGAGAGTCAGCGATCGACATTAGCGAACGCAAAACAGAGGGAGAGAGAAGGAGAAAGAGCGCATTCTGCACCGGGACATTTCGATGAGAATACTCGATGCATTATTGTCACTCGGGGCTCATCCTTGGTCCTCGTTTCGAAATAGCCTCCTCCTGCTACGTACATATACATATATATATATATATATATATATATATATATGCACCAGCAGCTCATTACAAGGTTGCATTCGATGATGAATAAATTAATCAAACAAAGGTATATACATACAATTTTCTCAATTCGACCCAATTGCGTAAAAACATTTCTGACCCCGAATCATATCAATTTCTCGATACTTTCGAAATAAATGCAGCAAAATTGACATCCATACAATAGCATAGAACATTATGCAATTACATTGCAGGAATATTGCAATCTTGCAAGTTGCAATGTAACATTTTTGCCGCAATCTTGCAACAACATTGCAGAAATATTTCGCAACTTTCATGCAATATTATAATATTTCAGTATAATGTTTTTGCAATGTTTCTGCAATTTTTCGGTGCTGTACATTTCTATATTGCTGCAATGTTTCATACAAATATTTCCTAGGACGGACATTTCAATATTGCCGCAATCTTGCAACAACATTGCAGAGATATTTCCCAACTTTCATGCAATATTATAATATTTCAGTATAATGTTTTTGCAATGTTTCTGCAATCTTTCGGTGCTGTACATTTCTATATTGCTGCAATGTTTCATACAAATATTTCTTAGGACGGACATTTCAATATTGCCGCAATCTTGCAACAACATTGCAGAGATATTTCCCATAATGTTTTTGCAATGTTTCTGCAATCTTTCAGTGCTGTATGAGCAATATTTCTCGAGAATCTGAATTTTTTAAAGGACACAAATTCGACAAGGGTCTCGGATCACCCGGTAGAATTTCCCACAAGCACTCTATCTATCTATCTATCTATCTATCTATCTATCTCTCTCTCTCTCTCTCTCTCTCTCTCTCTTTCTCGCGAGTACATAGGCGGGATAGCCGGTGTCGAGCGCGTATATACTCGGTCCGCAGTTACGTATCTGCGGAAGCCCGCCGCGCCGCGCCGGTTGGTCGGGGCGGATAGGTAGGTATGTAGGTACCGTATTATATACGTAGTGAGGGCTGGAGGGTCCTCACCGCCGCAACATTACGCTGATTGCCTGAATTATCCGCAACCAGCCCGCCTGGTGCTCTCTGCGCTATGTTATGTATGTATATGTACGAGGATCCTGTACATACGTGTTTGCGCCTCTATGTATCATCTGGCTCTCTCTGTATATTATATATAAGTGCGCATGTATGTGTAGAAGTGTGCGCTCTTATGCATGTACAAGTGCACGCGCGAACCACGCCTCTGTGCACGCGTGTATCGTCACGCTCGCAGGATGGTTCACGCGGAGAAAATTGAAAACGGAGCTGCGCGCGAGCGCGGAAGACGATAGCGTGATATATTCATGAAAGTGGAATAATGAATCGAGACGAGAGAAGCATGCATATATATATATATATATATATGTATGTATGTATGTATATGTATATATGTATTTATATATGTGCATATATATATATGCATTTCTGGCGCAGCATGCGCGTTATCTGCCGTACCGGCAAACCGCCGCGAATCGATCGCTTTATTTTTCAGCGAGTAGCTCGAGACGTGCCGAGAAAATTCAATTCGCTAATATACTCCGGCGAGGAAAGTTTAGCCCCGTCCGTCAATGAAAGGGTACTCGAAGCGACTCTTAAATGTTACAAATGTGTCGGAACTTTTCTCCGCTCAAAATAAAATAAAAGGAAAATTTTTAAATATAAGAAATTTTTGTATTCGGAAATTTCCTATAGAATGTAAAGGGAAAGATTGTTCGATGGCCAGCAGTTGCTAAAAAAATTGTAGCAGTGCAATGCGTTCAAAATACACGATTGGTATCCGTTCATTGATAAAAAGGTGAAAAATTATGCATTGACAGAAGGATTAAACATCAACTGTTCTAAATGCAATATTCACTTAAACCTTTTCTCTTCTCTGAAAACATATATTTTTTCATAGAAACGGAATTTTTTCATAGATATATAATTTTTCGTTTTCTCTAGGAATTATCAAATTGCTACCGATCTGTTATTAAGTAAAAAAAAAGCTTAGAAATGTTCCATCCACAGTTACAATATTATTAAACGATAACTAAGCAGCGACTTTCTTTCAAATTTTAATCTATTGCAATTTGTACATATATATATATTAATTTTTAGGTGTTTTACATAATTTTTCACTATTAAAACTCCTTTAAATTTTTGTCAAAATATTGTATTCAAGCTTCAATCAAGATAATCTGTTATCAAGATATATAATTAAATTAACGTAATATACAATGTTAAAATAATAATTAAGAAAAATATGATATTGCATCAATATTATAAAATATGCATTGCACATAATTAATATCCAACAACTAAAACAGAACGATGAGCTTTGCTCGCTGCGCTGTCCATTCTAATATTTACGGCGTTAAAAATGGACATTAAAAATACAAGCTTCATTAATCGCGAGCAAAAAGTCGATAGATAATGTTCTACGGAAGCCAGATGACTCCGTAACAGCCCTAGCCATGAATTCGTTTTAGCCTTAGCGCAAACTTGCAATGGAATAACGAAGGCGATGCAAGGGCAGACGGAAGGGTTAAGGACGCGTATCATACCGCTTGATTAATTACTTCAGCCGTGCACATTCGTCTATGTCTGCTATATCTGTATCCTGTCTACGGATAGCTCGTATACATACGTGTCATTTGTTAGTTACGTCAGAGAAAGAGAAAGAGAGAGAGAACGAAGCAACATGGTTGCAACAAAAGGTACGTAAAAATTTACGGGCGAGTAAGATTAAAAACTTACTCGCGATCTCTCTTTTGCGATAAATTGTGCAAGTTTTGTAAAAAAAAAATTAAAATCGAAATCCATTACAACTGAATACTCGCGAGAACCGGATTTCTGATTTTTTCGTATAAATATTTAATATTTAATTTGATAATCTGCGGTAAAAAGTAAAATGACAATTTAATGTGACTTAAAATTTTTTTAATTTCTTCAAAAAATTTTTAGTTTGAAAGAGCTTTTGTTATGTTGATGATATAAGAGCTACCGAGTGACCTTTACTTCATTTTAAAATTCGTAAATTTTTCTTTACACTGGTATTTATTCATTTCATTTCATTTTCTTGCACTTCATATCTGCAAAAGATACGTCAGTATTTGAGAAAAATAAAATTTTGATAACTCGACGTCCTTTCGAGTTCTTGCTTATTAGTGGTAATGCTTCGAAATAATTGATCGTCATCGTCATATTTATTAATTCCAAATTTTATCGGGTATAATCTGGACCTGCCGAGGTTTGAATCCAGATCACGTATCTCGTATTCTCAAAGATACGCATCTTAGCGTTAATTTTTGTGATAAGCAACTTGAGTGGGCGAAGATAATGTTGCTCATTTTTTCGTGACTAAGCTCACACATATATTAGCAACACTTTCTTGATTGAAAAGAAGGCTGAAGAAAAAGAGGAAGAGAGAAAAACTACTTATAATAATATATTTTATTTTTACCTTTGATTTCAACATTATTAATTTATCATTTCAAAATGCACACATATACACCTGTATTAATCAGATAAATTCATAAGAGATAATCACTGCAAAAAAAAGTCGCACAAATATTCATCAATTTTATTATTTTGTTTTATTGTTGAATATTGCACTGCGATGCATATTTTATATTGCATTCAATATCTTTTTTCGCTTTCTTTTTAAATTATTATTTTATTGCATTATATTATATTACATTAATTTAATTATATATCTTGATAACAAGATATCATTAAAGATGAAATAAAATATTCTAATGCAAAATTTCGAGATTTTAATAGTAAAAAATTATGTACAAATTGCAGTATATTAAAATTTGAAAGAAAATCTGTTTTTTTTGTCGTTTAATAATATTGTAATTGCGGATAAAACATTTTTGATCATTACTAAACACAAAATTAAATATCTATTTTTCTCAATTAAATGAAATTTCTATAAAACGATATCCTTGTATCTTTATAAAATTGAAAGTTTCGTCTCGATAAATTTTTTATTGAACTGACACGAGAATATTACAATATTACAAATTCTATCTTCTTTAGCGATTACAACAATCAACGATTCTAGCGTTAAATTAAAAAGCTTTATTAATAATAAAACGTTTTACGGATTTCAATTATCTAATTGAAAATTGAATATACTCAAAAGGTTACCTTGTTGCCATATTAATTAATTAGATCTTTTATCGCAATAATATATAAATGTAAAGCATGTTTGATTTTAATCAAATTTAGCGATAAAGGCAGGCAACGATGCAAAGGCTAGTTATAATTCTGCAATCTTTAGCATCGCATATGTATGTAAAAATTATCGATTCACCGGTTACAATCACGCAAATATTATTCATAGCTTAAATTTGGCGCAAAAACTTTTTTGCGATACATTGCGCGACTGATAATCTCCATTTCCAAACGAGAAAAGCATATCTTCGATAGATTATCATCTGTCCTTGCGTGTTTCGTGATAACGCAATACATATTTATAAAAGCCGATCCCGCCGAAATTCAGTCAATCGTGTATTTTAAACGGATCGGAAAAGTGCTGGCAGAACTGCACGTGTTCTCTTCTCTTCAAGTACGGGTCGAGTAGACGATAGGCGATGAAGGGTGAGTTTTAACATTAATTAAGTAAAATATTTAAATTAATAATTATATAAATTATTTAAAGTAATAATTATATATTATTTAAATATTTAAATTAAATTAAGATATTTCATTATATTGTATTAAAATTATTAAAGTAGATCGATATATATATATATATATATATATATATATCGATCTACTTTAATAATTTTTAATAATTATATAATAATATTATATAAATATTTAAATTAAATTAGAATATTTTATTATATTGTATCAAAATTATTAAAGTAAATCGATATATATATATATATATATATATATATATATATCGATCTACTTTAATAATTTTTAATAATTATATAATATTATATAAATATTTAAATTAAATTAATTGTAAGATATTTTATTATATTGTATTAAGATTATTAAAGTAAATCGATATATATATGAATATAAATATGTATTTAGGTATCATGCTTCGGGGAAACTTTTCTTCTAAAAATAAATTAATACAATTGTCGCTCGTATATTGAAAACAAAGTGATAAATATAAGGCCAACTTATCGAGCTGAATATTCGAGATGTTCAGTCAACTACCATTTATTACATGTATAAATTATAAAACTACAGTCATTATATTAAAACTAACGCAAATTACAATCATTCTATATAGAATGATTTTTGAACATCTCGAATATTCAGCTCGATAAGTTGGCCTTATATTTATCACTTTGTTTTCATCTAAATTTATAAAAATAATTTTACAAATTGATAAAAAATAATTGACATATATTTTCGATTTTAGTAAAAATCGATAAAATTATCGCTGACATATAACAACCATTTTTGTCCTCAACACAGACATATACGTGATCGCCGTCGCCTTTCTGGCATCTTGGAGCGTGTGTGCCGCAAGCGAATATCAACCATATACTCATCAGCTACAACCCCAGGATAATGTTCTTCGAAAATGCCCGTATCCGGATATAAATCCAAGCAACACTACGACCAACATCGCGCACGAAAGCGATTGCACCAAGTTCTACAAATGCCTGTTGGGTGAAGGAACCGTGATAGAATGTCCCTTGCTGTGGCCGAACGATAAAACGAAGAGGCTGCACTACAACAGGGCCGTTCAAGTCTGCGACTGGCCGTGGAATGCCGGTTGCGAATCATGTCCCCCGAAGGGCAGTAATGGCAAGTATCCGCCGGAGTCTAAGATACAAGATCCAGACTCTACAGATTGTAGAAAATATATCGTATGCAAGAACGGTAAGCAGACAAAGAAAACTTGTCCAAAGAAGACGTGCTTTAGCCGCACATGTCAGGATTGCGTGGAAAAACGCAAGGGTGGAAAATGTGATGATGATGATGACGACAGCACAACTGATGAGTCGTCAACTGATGAGTCGTCAACTGACGACTCGTCAACTGATGAGTCGTCAACTGATGATTCGTCAACTGATGAGACAACTGATGAATCTGATGATTCCTGTGAAGAAGGAGACCAAAAAGCCCATGATTGCAACTGCGCCAAGTTTTATGAGTGTTCCGAAGATGGAGATTGGGAACTCAATGAGTGCGACGGCGGTCTACATTTCAGTCCCACAAAGAAGAAGTGCATGTCAGCGGACAAGGCCAAATGTAAGAAAAAAAAATAGAGGACTCGGCGAGATTATCCGCGAAGTCTATTCCCAAGAATAAACGACACGTCATCAGCGCAAGTTGGTTTACAGACGCGAGTAATGAAAGGGAAAGGATCCATTGTTTCTGGGAATTCTTCTTCGACGAGAAATAAATATAGAGATGTAACCACTCGGTCAAATGCACAAATGTAATAATATCACTGAGATGATTAGACGTAGGCAATCATCAATCTCGGCAACAGAGTTAAACACGATGAGCAATATATGTATGCTTGCTAAAACTATATTATTATATTTGTAAAAAGTAGATTAGTTTCCTAAGATAGTTTAATAAAATCGTTAATATAAGATGTCGTTTCGATTTATTCTCTTATTTTATTTGCCAATACAAACACTGTTAGAAACAAATATTTGGGGGTCTTTAAGGAACAAGAGAGCACCAAATTTTTTCTTAAATAGAGCTGCTATATTTTTTTTACATATAAATCGATTTCTCGTATTATTCTGTATAAAAAGTTAAAAGGGTGATGACCAAAAAGTAAATAGTTTACGATATAAGATATTTTGTATACTTTAAAGTGACATAATTTTTTATAGAATATAAAAAATTTCGTAAAATATTTATTTTCGATGATTTTGCCTTAATACTTTTATGCACAAAATAATGAAAGAAACTAATTGGTATAAAGAAAACAGAAAAAAATCGTTTAAAAAATATATAGCAGTTAGTTGTATTTATACCCTGCATGTATAAAAAAATATATATATAAAATTCAGTATATTGGAATTTCTTTGCCATATATCGAATTCAGATAAAAAATTTATGATAAGAACAATCTTTTACGATAATCTGCTGCGCATAAAAAAAAATGATCCCAATCACATTTCTAGGAACATAATCGCAACCAGCGCATTATATGGAGCGTTACGTCATCGATAAAAATCGCTCGCGCGGATTGTAAAAAATAAGTCAAAATTATTATCGGGACATTCCTTAGATTGATTTTCGCCGGCCCACATCGCGAACACCTTATCGTTCCACATCTGGCTAAATCGTAAGTATTTGCCGTTGGAAGATAACGAGAAAGATAGCGTTTCGAGATTCCGGTGACACAGTGACACGGAGCCTATCAGACCGAAAGCCCTCCTACTCCATTCGGCGGCCGTTTCTGATAAATAGAACGTTGTTGTCGGGAACACTGTCGCGAGTCCCGACAATGGCCCGCCGGAAGATCGGGGCAGCTTTAATTTCCCCCCGTAGTTCCTGGCAATTACCGCGTGGCGCGGCTCGATAGCCATCTCTATCTCCGACCACAATGCCACCAGTTCCGACGCACCCCGTTCCTTGCCACCTCGCCGGCGATTTATTCTCCCTGCCTCTGCGACGATTTTTCTCGCCTCGACGTGATACACGAGCTGTCTTACATCCCCGCGATCGATCGACGAGAAGGAGGCATCCGGTTTACTTACTTAAATATTTGACACAAAAATTTTAACCGTTTTTATAACAAGAAAACACAAATTTTTCTGTGCACTTAAAAAAAATTAATAAAATTACGAGAAAATAATTTCTCGATACTCTGAATTATTTTCTCGTAATTTTATATTAATTTTATTTTTTAAGTGCACAGAAAAATTTGTGTTTTCTTGTTAAAAACGGCCCCCTTTAAAATTGTTGTGTAAATTATTTTACACTTTTATAATGTGTTAATTTAACATATCACTGTTCTGTTAATTGAACTTAAATGTTAAATTATTATTGTAAAAGAATTGAAAAATGTAAAAAGAACACAATGCATCTATTTTTAATTTTACGCAATAAATATGCTCTACTTTATTGGTGATAAGATTTTTTTGTTTTATTTATTTTATCTTTATTAAGTGCACAGTAGAAAAATTTGTGTTTTCTTGTTAAAAACGGTCGCCGTTAAAATTTTTATGTCAAATATTTAACACTTTTATAATGTGTTAATTTAACATATTACTGTTCTGTTAATTGAACTTAAATGTTAAATTATTGTAAAAGAACTGAAAAATGTAAAAATAACACAATGCATCTATTTTTAATTTTACGCAATAAATATGCTCTACTTTATTAGTGACAAGATTTTTCTGTTTTATTCATTTTATTTTTATTAAGTGCACAGTAGAGAAATTTATTATTTTTTTTTTTGTTAAAAACAATACCCGTTAAAAATAAACATTTTCTCATGTTTTTTTTCATTACAAATTGTCTAGGCTTATATAATATACAACAGGTTACGCAAGAATAGATTTATAATTAACACAATTATTGTATGAAAAAATTCCTGCCTTCTGAAAACACGTGTTTTTCTCTCATCAGCGTAAAATAATGGAATAAATCCGTAGTCTAATAGAGTTTACGAATATATTGCGTGATTAGTTCCTTCCGCAAAACTATGTTACCTCACGCGACAGAGAGACAGAGAAGCCCCGCAAGGGGTGAAATACGGGGGAAAGGAGCACGTGCGAAGCGAGAAAGAGAGAGAAAGAGAGAGAGGGTTGGGTGAGTCGGGGTGTTTAACAACTCGCGGCCGAACTTCTTCGAGGAGTTCGTAAATGGTGCGGGACGATTGGAGCGCGACTGCTTAAGTTCGGTCACCGGGGAAAGAAGAAGAAGGAAAGGGTGCGCGAAGAGCAGCTCTCTCCGTCTCTTGCGCGCGCGGCAACATTATCGTGTTTTAATTTAACTTGCAGCTGCACTTTAATTAGACTTTGGCTGAATGAGGAGACGACGCTCAACGGGCAAAGCGAATAAGTACTGGCAAGTAAACGGGAGGCGAAGCGCGAGCAAACTCTATTCCTCATCCATTTCCCTGTTCCTTGGCGATTTATCCCCCCTCTCTTCTTTCCTCATCTATCTACGGTTAAACAGAAATTTCGAGCGATAAGGAGAAGAGAGCGCGATGGAAAAGGAAGGTAATTGACCAATGCCGACAATATACGGACCCGGCGACGTCGCTTCTTACTTCATTTTTCTTCCCTCCGCGACTTCGCTTTGTAATGAGAAAGATATTCTTTGAGATACGCATCTTCACAACGCGCGATTATACGCTAGAAATCTGTACAATTTCTTCGAGAGGCGTACACTGTAAAAAAATACGTAATATATATTACATATGTAATATATGTATATTACATATTTTGTAATATATGTTACATATCTTGTAATATATATTACACATGTATATTACGTATATTACATATGTAATATTACATATATATATATTACATATGTAATATATGTATATTACATATTTTGTAATATATGTTACATATCTTGTAATATATATTACACATGTATATTACGTATATTACATATGTAATATTACATATATATATATATTACATATGTAATATATGTATATTACATATTTTGTAATATATGTTACATATCTTGTAATATATATTACACATGTATATTACGTGTATTACATATGTAATATTACATATATATATATTACATATGTAATATATATTACATAAAAATGTGTAAAATTACATAAATAATAAGTGCAAAATTACGACAATATTAATACACGACAAATAATGGAAATTTTTGCCTTTTCATTAGTTATCATGTAATTTTACATTTATTATTTATGTAATTTTGCATATTTTTTATGTAATTTTACATATTTTTTACAGTATTCGGACATTTTTTATCGCGTTTTCCTCCGACTTTATATTCTTCCTCGAGAGGTGATCTCGTATTTTTTCCTTTTATTTTATTTCAAATTTAATTAATATAATTATCGTTTAGCGCGACGCGCTTCATAATTTTTCATTAAATAGCTCTTGTTAGTTAAAATTCTCCAATATGGAAGACTAATAATTTCCTCATATTTACTTCACGCATATTTCTTTTATTTCAAATTTAATTAATATAGTTATCGTTTAGCGCGACGCTTCATAATTTTCCATTAAATATCTCTGGTTGAAGCTAAAATTCAAATAATATCAAAGACTATAATTTCCCGATATTAATTTCACGTATAAACTTCCTTTTTTTTTACTTCAAACATAATTAATATAATTAATGCAGTTATCATTTAGCGCGACATTTCATATAATATCCCATTTAAACATCTAATTAGTTAAAGTTAAAATTTAAATATCGAAGACTAGTTTCCTCATATTTATTTCATGTATATTTTCTCTTTTCCCATTTCAAGTTTAATACCACAACGCTTCATAATTAAAACTAGAAATCAAGTACACTGAAATAAAGAAATTTATTAACTTGACTAAACTTTTCAACTAATTATTATTTTGTTAATTGAACATATAAAAATATTCAAATAAAATATAACAGATTAAATCTATACTGAGACAAAAATTATTAATAAATTAATAAGTATTTATTTTTCAATATTGCCTTATAAATCTTTGAAACAAATAAATATTTTTTCACGTCAAATCAATATTATTAGTTTCAAATAAATAATTTATAAAGCAGTATTAAAATAAATATTTATCTAAATTCAATAATTTTTTTTTCAATGTAACAAAACGTATATTTGACTTAAATACCAATATATTCAATTAATAAAATAGTAATTAAAATTTTTTTTCATTGTATCGAAGATTATAGTATGTTCATGTTTATTTCACAACGCAAGTTATATATACCGTTGGATGAAAATTTCAGGAAACGTCAAAGGGAGTTTTTCCGTTTTTTCCGAACGTCTCGAAAAAAAGGACGCACTTCCGACATAACGGCACTTCCGTTCACAGCCATTCAACTGTCGGTATTACTTCGGTCGCTCGCGCGAGAGAATCAGCTACTTTCAGTCGCACATTCTTCGCGGAATTCGCAAACGCGAAACGCAATAAATCTCGCTCTCTCTTTCTCTCTCTCTCTCTCTCTCTGTTCAGAACGTTGCACGAAATAATGACGATATAGCGAGAAGCCATGAAGAGAAGCTCGTGCGAGTCGGATTTCAATGGCGCCCCCCGGTGGCTCTTCGCACTTAATGAACACCAAAACTGTCGCCGAAGCCTCGCGCTTTTACGCACACATGTCTGCGAGCGGCGCCTTTCCTGCCCCTATTCTGTTCAGCTTTGTCAACAATCGCGACAACGGCGGGTCTTCCGTAACTTCGAAGGTCGACATCAAAGGCAATCGCGAAGTCTTATCGCAACCTCGCGAACATTCGACCGAGGGAATTAAACGGGTCGATCGAATCCGGGCGAATATAAAGTCCTTGAAATAATTCGACCCCTTCGGGAACAGCTGACACGTCATCTTCAACGCGGTCGATCCGAATATGGTATTTAGTTCGAGACGAGTTATTGAAAATAAAGACTTTTCTACAAATTAAGCA